TTATTATTATTATTATACTATTATTATTATTATATTGATATCATTATTATTATTATTATTTGCATTTTCATTTGGAAAGAGACTGCATGTAAACTTTGCGATAAATGATGAAACAAAACGATTCACCTATAGTTTCATATACCCTTTACAATAAAAGAAAAAGAAATACATGGATTAAAATCGAGGATTTCTTTGATTCTGAATGATTCTTGACTTTTTTGTTAAAAAACAGTCTGTTTATGTAGTTTGTCTCCTACGGGTCACCTCAAATATTCCCACACTATAGCTGCAGTTATATCTCGGCTTGTTTACTGGATAATGTGTGTCTATTTTCAAATTATTTCTTTGCACTTCTAATTGAGGATTTTAAACGTTTAGGTTTTAATCACATTACTGTAACTTTGCATCTAAACGGCCAGTAGGCTGTGTTAAAACTGGTTCAAATCCATGCTTCACTATTTCCTCTGGCCATTTGAATGTGCGCTGAACCACGAGTTCCTTAATAACGTTGGGGAAATGTACAATCAGATAGCATTACCTAAAATCAAGAGCTCTTAGCCTTTGACACGGAGGCCTGCTCTAAGAAAGGGGATATTGTTCTTTATGTGTGGGCAGTCTGCCGGCGTGCACGGGTCGATATCCCGGGATTAACTACCATCTAATCATAAATGCTGCAAGGGAAGTCGTTAAACAGGAAAACTATCTGTTTCTTCCAATTACCCACAAGTCATCCCCAAGCTTGTGTCCTTGGCTTTTGCAGTTACAATTGGAAATGCAAGAAGGGGGTCTAAAAAGTGTGGAAATACGTGAAAAGAGAAAAAAATACCGCTGTTATGGCCTCTTTAAATGTAGGTTATGATCAATTATAATTAGAAAATTCTTCTATTAAAAGGAGAGAAAGTTTTAAAATACAAAAGTTGAATTATTGCGTTTCTGATTTTAATTTTAAGGTCAAAGTTCATCCAAGTCATCGCGGCTGACGTTAAAATGACAAAAGCAAAGAGAGAAGGAAAAGAAAAATATCGACACTTAATCCAGTGCTTTGTTAAAACAACACTAGTCAAGAGACTGTGGCATGTGGCCATTACAGGCAGAGCTGGGCGAAACTTATACGTGCTTTTCCAACCGGGAACCTTGATGTTCAAGTGATGACACCTTATCTTTCCGCGCTCGGCCGAGGAGAACAAAAGTGCCGTAGTGTTTGGCGGAGAAAAAAACCAACACAGAACTGGAAACGGGCGTTGAAAGAAGACACTTTGTTTGAACAGCTTCAGCCTTGCAACACCCCCCATCCCAAAACACCCCCACCCACCCACAATACTTTCATTAGTAGCTTCAATACTTTCCCCTCTTAAAAAGGTGGTAGCAGAGAGTTTATTATAGCATTATTCATCTCACAGCTGGTCTGCGGTAGCCTGGCTATTACCGGATTGTTTGGGGAAAAATATGCATAATTATAAACCATAACCCACAATAATGTCAGCAACCAGCTCATAGGATGTTGATTGGCTGGGGCTTGAAACAACAGCACATTATGGGCCCGTTAATAAATGATCTCGGAGGCCCTGACGGCTCTAATGGGAGTGTAAATATGAATAAGTGTACACAAAGAGTGTGTGAACTGTCTGTAAACGAGAAGGATCAGTCGCACCTTGTTGGGTACAACTTCTGGCGCATGAAGGTCAATTACACATGCAGCTGAAAGCTCACACTTTATAATTAACGAGGACTTCAGTGCATATGGGTCTACTCAAAACAAGCCTATAATAGCGGCTTGTGAGGAGACATAACACGGAATAGTTGGTCTCTCACCAAACCAACTCTGTAACCCCACAAAGAGTTGTGATTTTCGTCTTCTCCTACTTTCACTCTCTCTTGTTTCCCATAAGGCTTGAAATGTGAACTTGAACTGGCATTGTGAGCGCGCCATGTGTGCCCGGGGAGGGGAGGGGAGGCTATTAAACGTTTTTTGGGCAGAAGATATTAGGAAAATCCGCCAGCATTGAAGAAAAGTCCTAACAAGGCGCACTGGTTAAACGCTGATTTGACTCTACCAAGCTGGCTTATGGGAACAATGGCAGCAGAGGAATCAGATAAACAGTCAGACAGGTGTGAACTAGTCCTGGTTTCTTGCACAAATTCGTCTGCAGGCTTCTTTAATCGCCTGTCAATTCACCACTGGCTAAGGATGTTGCAGAGATTAAACGTCAAGTGTTCAACAACAATCTTGCAGAGAGTTAATACCACTTTGCCTCAGGAAGAAAATCATGAAACAATCAGGGGAGAATGTTGAGTCCTGGCCTTGTAAAGATCACATCCATATACTTTTATAGGATATGAAGCAAATGCTTTGTAAGAGAGGCTCTGACCTGAGATCTGTTTTTGTTCCATGGCTGAAAGGCCCGGCTGAACAAATTAGTGTTATTATTGTCATCATAATTACATCACCGCCCAATCATTAGCCCAAAATGCATTTTACACACACTTTTTTTCATGCTCTTTTACTGAATAATAGAGTTTTGATTGTTATTTAATCGCTTTAGGGTTTTATATTAAACACAGACGCCATATTTATCCGCATGACTGCTGCAGATTGTAGAAGCTATTGCTGTTTATTGTGGAGACAGATTTGCTATTTTATTTGCAACTTATAACTAAATGACAATCATTTTTGCATTATTACTAAAGCATAAAATAGCAACAAAAGACATTCCCGTAAATTTCGCATTAGGTCAGGAAGTTGAGTTTGGATTTTAAAGGTTCTCAGTTTACTTGTTGTGCTGAAATAGGCTAATTAAAAGTTCCCACCAGTATTCTCTCTTTTCACCCCCCTATTTGGTACTAAGAGGTAGAAAAGAAAAGAAAAACAATGTAAGTAAATAAGGAGAGACTAAACAGTTTTATATAGTGTTAATGATTCTCTCAGGATCTTTCAAGCGATGAACAAAAAGTGCATGAAAACACAAGAATGAGTATAAATTGGTAAGCTCGGCTTTTTAAGGGGTGTTTCTTTTGAAATGTAAGATTATTTTTTTAATGAACCTATTTTATACTAAGGAACAGTTTCTGGACACTGCCGTCATTTAGGACTTTTACTGATTACTTTTCACTCACTGAGATTTAGTACAACAGAGCCCCGCCGATAAACACGTGATAATGTTGTTTTGCTTCCGTTAACTGCATTAATGGACAAACTGCATTAATGGACAAACTGCAGGGAAGATCGATAAAGCAGTTATTGTGAAAATTGTGGATGGTCATAATTGATCACAAAGCCCATACTGGATTACTGTTTAAAACCTTGAATCTCCAAACTGTAGTATTAAAAAAGTAGTTTTAGGCCAATCACAATGCATTTTCTGGCATTATTCAAAATTATTTTAAGTACAGGGAAAAAAATAATCCCAGCTGTGTGGATGAATTTAATGCACAAAAATCCCAAAATGTTTTTCATCAATATATGAAGTATCAGATGCTCATTTTTTTTGTTAAGTGATGTTAACACTCTCCTACAATTGCCAGGTACAGTGATAATAGTTATAATGTGACACATTATTGGTCCCAGTGGGGAAATTCTCTTTTCACTTAGACCCCCTTCAGGGAGGTCAGAGGTCAAACTTTTATAGCAGTAGCCTCAGAGCTGGAAGGGATTCACTGTTTTGCTCAAGGAAACTTCAGCAGAAGGGAGAGGCTTAAACTCAGGTCCAAAGGGTCATGGACGGTTTGTCAAACCACTGATCCTTTTTTAAGATGAAACCCACTGATCTTAAGATGACCCGAATAATTTTACAGACAAAATATGCAGCAAGTGACAGAACTCTGATTCCAGGCATTGTCCCAGTTAATGAAAAGAAAAGTGAGTGTCTGTGAGGAGGATAGTACACAACAAATATTTCTGGAACAAACAATGACATTGAGTTAATAGTTCATGCCGCTCATTGCCTATGGGAGTTTATGGTTGTGCTAACAAGGAAGTAAAACAGATGGGAATTGCATTACTGATATTGTGGAAAGTGTTTGAGTCCGGCGACTATCTACTGGTTGCAAAATCACATTAAATGTTCACTTTACACTGCGGGATCCCACAGCAACACAAAAAGGTGTTTATCACTTTATTTAAACCTTCATATGTTTTAGTTTTAAATGAAGGCCTGTGCTTTTACAGGAAAAAAATAAAATTTTATTGTGCAGTCAGCCTGAATTATGTGGATAATGTCTCTATATATAGCAGACACCACTATTATTATATTATTCACTTTTACTGAACTGTGGATCTAACCTCAGTTAACGAGACAGACAAACTCTTCCCTCTCTTCTGGTTGTAATGGCAGACTGTTCATCCACAAAGATAAAATTGTCCTGTGGAATGTGAATGACATACTAATCCTAAAATTCCTCTTTGATAATCTAAAAACCATGACTGGATCATAAGAGCTGCAATGGCATTGAGAGGATCAGAAGCTGCACAGTAAACATCTTCCTCTAAAAGTTAAAATACCTAAATAAGTTGTGATATTTTAGTACTAAATATAATGCATGTGCAGTATTTCTAACAGAAATTCATATATTGTTGTAAAATGTGGATTACTCATCTTTTGAAAATTATTTAAAATAGCTTCACCGTGATCTTGTATGAAATAAACCCTTTGTGTATGGTGGAAAAAGCCTGCTGAGCTGAGGGAGAGCCCCTAAATATAACATGTATTCACATAGAAATGAAAGTGGTCCAGAGACAGTCTAATGGTTGTTACAGTAATGCTGACAGGCAGTACAGGGCCAGTGTTTTCACACATAGATCAAGAGATGAAATCATGCATATTTCCAGGCCTAGAACTATGAGGAACACCCGGACAGACAGAAGGATAAAATCAATGTTTATCAGCAGTATGATGGT